TATAGTGTGCAAGTCCATGTGTACTGTACTCCCCGGGATAACCCCACTCAACAACCTGCGCCTCCCCCACCTAATTCCCAGGGAAGTTTTTCCCTTCCCCTCCCAGCCCCTCAAACTCCACCAGGCCACCACGGTCAAGTTCACTACCTTCCACGCACCATACCCACCCAGCATGTCATATTCCACTCCTAATGTCTAGTCTAGCAGATGGATGCCAACCAGGAGGAAGCAAGCAGCCAGGGAAATGGCACGGCTGGCAATACTAGGAGAGGCAAGTGTCGGTCATGCTTACAGCTTCGTTGTCTCAACTCTAATGGTTTCCTCCGCAAACACGGTAGTTGCCCTGGTTCAGGATGTCCTCCTGTGGAAAGTGATGATCCAGAGCCAGCTCAGGCACCTGAACCCACTCCAACAGATTTCATCTCGTCAGACAATCTCTTGGAAGCAATTAAAGCAACAGGTACCAGAACACTCACACATATTCCCAAAGCAGCCCGTCCACACGCAGCTGGGAAACTTACAGACCTCCTGAAAAAAGTAAACTATGGCTCCACTATCTTAAATGCTCCACCAACCATCAAGGCATGGCACAACTTGCTACTTTTTGGCAATGTCTGCTTAGCTGTGCCGGAAAGAAGGGGAAAGAGGCTAGCCTCAATGATAATTAAAACCTTAAGAGATTTTCCTAGAGTTGATAACCTCATTCGCCTTCCCCGTCAACACAAAAAAGGGAGAGGCAGAACCCCCACTCACTCTACTGACAGTGAAAAAGTCAGAGTCCAGGTGAGCAAGAAAATTGAAGAGGGCAAGACAGTGGAGGCAATCAGAATTGTTACCAGTGATGATACAGTTGCTCCCAGGGATGCTGACACGGCTGAAGCACTTAGAGGAAAGCACCCTGCCAGGGAAACCAGTGGCACCAACAGTTCCAACACCTCTGTCCCCACTATGGAACCATTGATTGTGGAAGACTCAGACATTTACAAAGCAAGAATGTCGTTCCCATCTGGCTGTCCTGGGGGTTACACTGGAATGAGGCCACAGCATTTAAAGGAAATGGTTAATCCAGTTATTGGGGAAATTGCAGAGACACTGCTTTCAGAGATGACAAGGTTCGTCAACAATTCCTTGGCTGGTCTGATTCCTGATGAAATTAGACCTTTCTTTTTTGGTGCAACACTTTGTGCACTTTAAAAGAAGGATGGAGGAATTCGGCCAATTGCAGTAGGCAACACGTTACGCCGCCTCTTATCCAAAGCTGCTGTCCGAAGTATTCGTGCACAGGCAGCCATGATGCTTCAACCAAACCAGCTTGGCTTTAGGGTCTCTCAAGGAAGTGAAGCAGCGGTTCATGCAACAAGGGCGTATATCAACAACCTGCCTGAGGACAATGCAGTGGTAAAATTAGATTTCAAGAATGCGTTCAATCTCCTGAAAAGAGACGTGGTATTAGCAGCAGTACAAGAACATTTCCCTGGTCTCTTCCCTTTTGTTTCAGCCGGGTATAGCAAGGAATCAATGCTTCTCTTTGGAGAGCATGAAATTACATCATCAGAGGGTGTCCAACAAGGAGATCCTCTTGCACCATTTCTCTTCTGTATAGCAGTTAGGGAAATCACTGTCAGACTGACCAGCGAGCTAAACATCTGGTTCCTAGATGATGGCACACTAGCAGGTACAAAGGAGTCCCTCCTACATGATCTTACACAGGTAATGACACGGGGACAGGAAATGAGTCTCATCTTGAATCCATCCAAATGTGAAACCATCTCAGTCAGTCAACAAGTGATAAATGCAGTGAGATCAAAACTACCAGGAGCAGCAGTCATTGCCCCACAAATAGTGTCTTGCTAGGAGCACCTCTGGGAAGTGATGCCATTGACACAATTCTCAGGAAGAAATTGGAAGAGTTAAGGAGAATGGAACAACGAATAAGCAATCTGGGCACCCACGATGCCTAGTACCTTCTCACAAAGTGCTTGAGTCTGCCCAGGTTGACATATTTCCTAAGATGTGCAACTTCATATGATAACCCTATACTGCACGAATATGACAGTATTCTGAGGCAGATTTTTACGAAAGTACTTAACCTTACTCTAGAAGACGGGCAGTGGAACCAAGCTACGCTTCCAGTTAGACTAGGAGGCATTGGTGTCCGCAAGTCATCACAGATTGCGTTACCTGCTTTTCTGTCCTCGTGTATTGCATCCAGAGACCTTGTAGCAGCGATTCTCCCTGAAGATCTTAGGGACAAGATTGGAGTTTAGGACCAAAAATTCATTGACGGAGCAATGATCTGGGATAATCTAACGGGCTCTGAAACCAGACCTGCTACCCCCAACAACTACAAACAATCGCACTGGGATGGTCCAATAGTGGAAAATATAGCCTCAACAATGCTTCAGAGTGTGTCAAGGAAGGATAGAGCCCGCCTCCTGGCAATGAGAGCCCCTCATGCTGGGGACTTTCTGTTGGCTGTTCCCAACTCCAGCCTTGGCACACGCCTCGACCCACAGACCATCCGCATCGGTGTTGCCCTTCGACTTGCCGCCCCTATTCTCGCCGAACACAGGTGTATTTGTGGCAGTGAAGCAGCAGACCGATTCGGGTACCATGGTCTTGTGTGCCGTAAATCCGAGGAAAAGATTGCAAGACATGAGGAGGTTAATAACATTATCAAGAGGAGCCTCACAACAGCCGGATGCCCAGCAGTAAGGGAACCACCCCAACTATGCAGATCTGATGGCAGCCAGAAGCGTCCAGATGGTATCACCCTTCAAGCCTGGACAGATGGAAAGCAGGTGGTGTGGGACTATAGATGTGCATCTACCTTGGCTGATACCTATCTCCAATACACCAGGGAGGAAGGAGGGGCAGCTGCCAGCTTCAGGGAGTCCCAAAAGTCTAGAAAATATGGAGAACTTGCCCATCATTATATGTTTCTTTCCATAGGCTCAGAGACCCTTGGCTCATGGGGAAAGAGTGCATCTAAATTCCTTAAGGAGCTGGGAAAAAGACTCATCAGGGTAACTAGGGATCCCAGGGCAGCTAGTTTTCTGTTCCAGCGGCTCAGTGCGGCTGTTCAAAGGGGTAATGCCTGCTGTATTTTGGGCACACGCCCCAGCTCTGAGGAGCTGGATGAGATTTTCGCCTTATAATCGGTGATACACACGTAACAACATGTACCGTATATGCCACCTTTATATCAATAATGTATCTCTTAAATCTTCTGTACCATATTATGTAATAAAATATTCTTATTGGAAAAAAAATATATATTAAATGATGGGGTGGTAGGGGAAGTGGAATATTCAAACGGCTTCAGGAAGAAATCCAAATATTCTTCCTTGAAGCCTTTTTATCCACTTCTCCGAGGCTATGGGTCCCAAAATTTACACCAGAGGTGGACCCCATCATATATTTTAATATATATATATATATATATATATAATATATATATATATATATATATATATATATATATATATATATATATATTGTGTGTGTGTGTGAGATTATGTGTGTGTGTGTGAAAAACATGCATGTACACACGCGAATGATTGCTGACAAACTTACCTGATACATAATAATTGGTGGTCGAGTAGTTTCCACAGCCTGTAAGAAAAAACTTGACATAAAACAATTTGCATTTTACTTAACCTTAAGCTGTGACTAATATATCATGGCGACTAAACACATACAGCCTCCTAAAAGCAGATATTTTCATAGTGCTATTGATTACAACAAGAATATACATGGCGAGCAGATTTACAAACGATGATTTATTAAATCATCATGACTTCATGTTCTCAAGAATATTTTACAGTCATCTCTTTTATAAACCTCCTCCATAGCGTGTTTCTTTTTTTCCCGTGACTGGAAAATTACATCCAGAATTAAATATTATGCACTATGAAGGCCTACCCACCTTCTGTTCAGTTTTAATTTTCCAACTGTATTTACAAAAATTTACTTATACAATAGCTGTATAAGTGAGCTGATTTTATTCATTAAGGATGTGTACTCATACTAACTCATACTAGAAAATGTTAAAGAAATATTACATGGTACATTTACATGGATTTATTGGGCTATTAAATGTTTAGCAGTTAATTAAATAACATTTTGAAAAGTTATTTTGAACATAATAGCAGACAGGCCTCTGTTAGATGAACAAAGTTTCAGTGGTGGGTCAGGAAACAGTACAAATATCAGAAGATATTTTCCTCCTTTTCTGGAGAATCTTATCTAACTTCTGAACACGTCAGAAACAATCTTCGAGACACTTATAAAGCTATCATCCTATTGTAGGATATACTACTAAACAGTGATCCTGTATTTTTCAATGGGGTGTAAAATATAGCTATGGATGCTAAACCACTGACGAATCTGCATCTGATTAAGATCTGTGTCAGGAGACACTGTTACTGCTTGACGAATAACCCACCCTCATCACTTTGCTATACAGAGCAGATGTTACAGACTAATTATATAAATGATGCAGTCTAATCAGATATATTTATACATCCCTTTGCTCTAAACATGATAATGAATGTTCAGCACCTCCTGTCGATACTGTATGGGTGATCTCCGGAATCTGAATTCCTTTTGAGTCTCCATTCTCCAGTCTTATGAAAAAGTCAGATATGATATTGGGCTGAATGTGACTAAGTTAGCCAAATCGATCAAACCGAACTGCCAAAACATATTTTCAAATTTGTCACTTTTGTGTAACACAAGTAGCTATAGCTATAAGATTAAGCACTTGGTATTGACACAAGTGACTGCAGCTGCAAGATAATCCACATGGTAACAAAATGCAACTGCTAACACTAACTTGCCTACTTGAGGATAATGTGCTAGTAAGTGACTGGTGCCAAAATGTTGGCCCCAAACCTGAGCACAAGTAACTGGTGACACAAGACTGGTCAATGTGAGGATAACATACCCGGGCACAAGTGGCTGGTGCCACTTAATTGGTGCACATTAGGATAACATACCTGAGCACAAGTGACTGCTGTCGCAAGAGTGGCCGCAATCATGCTCAAACAGACTCTCGAGACCATGTTGACTCTGTAGACGCTGATGGACTTCTGGTAGCACTGGTTTCTTTTTTCTCTCATTACCGCTTTTATACATTACCCACCCTTCCCCAAGCTCCTACTCCGCCTCGCAACCATCCCACCTGCCCCACTAACCATGACGGGCGTTCTAAAATATCAAAACCTTCTTTAATACATTAAAAAACATTAATATATACTGAAGATAGCAAGGGTTCGTCTTTTGCTAAGTTCCCCTTCATCTGCAAATTTCAAAAGAGAGTAACATACACTGATTACTTCAGTGATGTGGATAGGGATTCTGAGGAGCTGTGCACTTGGGAGAACGGCAGTGTCCCAAGGGCAGAGAGAAAGACACAGAAGAGTAAACAAGAAAGTGTACGGGAAGATAAGGGAAGCGGATTAGGTATGATAAGGATAGAAAAGGAGAGAAAAAAGAACAGGAATACGAGAAATAGGGTTAAGAACCAGTAACGGAGCCTCCCTGTAGAACGATCTAAAAGAAGAAAAGAATTCAAGAGAAAAATTGGGATTAACAAGGTGAACAAAAGTTTAGCATGACCTTTGTAGACATTTTTTTAAAGCCTCGAGCTATTGTATACAAATTCAGGTAAGTGTAATAAATGTAAGACCTTAAATATTAAAATATTCATTGTTCTTTTTATTATTATTATTATTATTATTATTATTATTATTATTATTATTAGTCTGCTTGTAGTAGTATTTGTAGTATTAGTAGTAGCAGCAGAATTAGTAGTAACAGTAGCAGAAAAATAGCAGCAGTCAGTTAGTAACAGTAGCAGTAATGCAGCTGTAGAACAGTAACAGTAGGCAGTATCAGCAGCAGTAGTAGTAGTAAGAGTAATAAGAGCAACAGCAAGTAGTAGTTTCAGTGATGTAAGTAAAAGTAGTAGTAGTTAGTAGTAGTTAGTAAGTTAGTAGGGTGTAGTAGTATAGTAGTAGTAGTAGTAGTAATTAGTAGTGCAGTCAGTAGCAAAAGTGAGTAGTAGCAGCAGTAGTAGCGTAGTAAGTTAGCCGCAGTTAGTAGCTCATGTAGTAGTTCGCTCAGTAGTTAGTAGTAGTAGTAGTAGTAGCAGCATTAGTAGCAGTAGTCAGTAGCGACAGTGTTGCAGTAGGTGTACACGTAGCCAGCTCAGTATGTAGCAGTAGTAGTCGCAGGTGCGTAGTAGCAGTATAGTACAAGTAGCAGTGATTATAGTGTGCACAAGCAGCTAGTGTGAGGATATTGGGTAGTCCTGTTATGTAGTTGTGAGTAGTTAGTGTATTGTAAGTAGTTAGTATGGTAGCGCTAGGCGAGTTAAGTTAGCAGCAGTGATGAGGTTGATGCATCACCAGTGAGTAGTGAGCAGAGTTGTTAGCGAGTAGTAGTAGCAGCCAGTCAGTATGACCGAGAGAGTATGAGTTGTGAGTAGGCTCTAGTGTCTAAGTAGTGCCAGTATAGTTCACCTTGAGTGCAGTAAGAGTAATAGCTCAGACAGCAGTTAGGTAGCATTAGTAGTAGCAGTAGCTAGTAGTAGTTTGGGTCAGTCTGTTTTAGTTAAGCCGTGTTTGTAATCGTTTGCAGTAGTAGCTTAGCAGCACAGCACCTGTTCGTAGCAGTGGTAGTAGAAAGTGTAGATAGTGTGCTAGAGGTAGTCAGTGTACGAGCCTCGAGCAGTAGTCTGGCACATGTGAGTCAAACTTTAGTAGTTCAGCAAGTAGTTCGATATGTGGTTGATTCTTGTTGGACGCCAGGAGAGAGTTAGACGTTGTACGTACAGAGCCTCGAATAGTAGTAGCAGTTAGTTAGTAGGCGCGACAGGTAGTGAGTGCACTCAGTACCAGTGGTCTCTTGTAAGGTGTAGAGGCAATTTTGTAGTAGCAGTAGTCAGTAGCTAGTAGTCAGTAGCAGCAGTAGTAGCAGTAGTTAGTAGCAGCAGTGTGTGTTGTAGCAGTAGATGTGCAGTAGTAGTAGCAGCAGTAGTGCAGCCAGTAGTAGTGGCAGTAGTTGTAGCAGTTATATAAAAAAACAAGTAGTAGTAGCAGTAGTCAGTAGCAGTCGTATTAGTTAGAAGTAGTTGTAGCGCAGTCAGTAGCAGCAAGTAGTAGTAGCAGTTGTGCCAGCAGTAGATAGTAGCTGTAGTAGTAGCATAGTCGTAGAAAGAGTTAGTAGCGGTGTATAGTAGCAGTTGATAAGACAGGCAGTCAGTACAGTAGCCTGTTAGTAGCAGTAGTAGTAGCAGTAGTAGTAGTAACAGTAGTAGTTAGCAGTAGTCAAGTAGCAGCAGTAGTAACAGTAGTAGTAGCAAGTAGTAGAGCAGTAGTGTAGCGTAGTAGTAGCAGTGATTAGTAGTGCAGCAGTAGTAGCAGTAGTAGTAGTAGTAGCAGCAGTAAGTACAGTAGTAGTAGCAGTAGTAGCTAGCAGTAGTAGTAGCAGTAGTAGTCAGTAGTAGCAGTAGTTAGTAGCAGTCAGTAGTAGCACCAGTCAGTAGCAGTATGTGTAGCAGTAGTCAGTAGTAGTAGCAGTAGTAGCAGTAGTAGTGGAGAACAGTAGTAGCAGCAGTAAGTAGCAGTAGTAGTAGTAGCAGTAGTAGCAGCAGTACTGCAGAGTAGTGCAGCAGCTGTAAGTAGTTAGTAGCAGTAGTAGCAGCCAGTAGTAGTAGCAGTAGTAGCCAGTAGTAGTAAGCAGTGTAGTAACTGTAGTAGTAGAGGTAGTAGTGAGCGCTAGTACAGTAGTAGCAGTAGTAGTAGCAGTAGTAGTTAGCAGTTGTAATAGCAGTAGTAGTAGCAGAAGTAGTAGCAGCAGTAGTAGCAGTAGTAGTGTAGCAGCAGTAGTAGCAGTAGTAGTAGCAGCCAGTAATAGCGTAGTCAGTAGTAGCAGTAGTAGGTAGCAGTAGTAGCTGTAGTAGTAGTAGCAGTAGTAGTAGCAGTATTAGCAGTAGTAGTAGTTATGTAGTTGTAGCAGTAGTTGCAGCGCAGCAGCAAAGGCAGCAGTTAGTAGCAGCTGCCAGTAGTAGCAGAGTAGTAGAGTTGCAACAGTAGTAGCAGTAGTGTAGTAGTAGTAGCAGTAGTAGTAGCAGTAGTTAGATAGCAGTTGTAGTAGCAGTAGTCCGTCTGCGTATTAGCATTAGTAAGTAGCAGTAGGAGTAGCCAACTTAGTAGTAGGAGCAGTAGTAGCAGTAGTAGTAACAGTTAGTAGTAGCAGTAGTTGTAGCAGTAGTTGTAGCAGCAGTAGTAGCAGTAGTAGTAGCAGCAGTAGTAGCAATAGTAGCAGTAGTAGTAGCAGCAGTAGTAGCAGTAGTAGTAACAGTAGTAGTAGCCAGTAGTAGTTGAAGTAGTCAGATAGCAGCAGTAGTAGCAGTAGTAGTAGCGTAGAGTAGCAGTAGTAGTAAGTAGCAGTAGTAAGTCAGCAGCAGTAGTAGCAGTAGTGTTACAGTAGTAGTTAGCAGTAGGTAAGTAGCAGTAGTTGGAGCAAGTTAGTAGTAGCCAGTAGTAGTAGCAGCAGTAGTAGCAGTAGTAGTAGCAGCTAGTAGTATACAGTAGTAGTGGCAGTAGAGATAGTAGCAGTCAGTAGTAGCAAGTAAGTAGTAGCAGTAGTAGTCAGCAGCAGTAGTAGCAGTAGTTAGAGCAGTAGCAGTAGTTAGTAGCACCATTAGTAGCAGTTAGTAGTAGTTAAGTAGCTGTCAAGTAGCAGCAGTAGTAGCCAGTAGTAGTAGTAGTGCAGTAGTAGTAGCCAGGCAGTAGCAGCAGCCAGTAGTAGCAGCCAGCAAGATAGTTAGCAGTAGTAGTTAGCAACAGTAGTAGCAGTAGTAGTAGCAGTAGTAGTGCCTAGTTGTAGCAGTAGTAGTATGCAGTAGTAAGTAGCAGTAGTAGCAGTCTAGTAGCAGTAGTAGTAGTAGCAGCAGTAGTAGTGGCAGTAGTAGCAGTAGTAGTCAGCAGCAGAGTAGTAGCAGCTGTGTAGTAGCAGTAGTAGCAGCATGTAGTAGTTGCAGTAGTAGTTAGAGAGTAGTCAGTAGCAGTAGTTGCAGCTGTAGTAGTAAGCAGTAGTAGCAGTAGTAGTAGCAGTAGTGTAACAGTTAGTAGTAGCTTCTCCCCCCTCCCCCCCCTCCCGGTTATAGATGTAGCAGCAGTAGTAGCAGATAGTCGTACGGTAGTAGTAGACAGTAGTAATAGCAGTAGTAGTAGCAGTAGTAGTAGCAGGCAGTATAGAGTAGTAGTAAGCAGCGCAGTAGTAGCAGTAGTAGTAGGCAGCGTAGTAGCAGTTAGTAGTAGTAGCAGTAGTAGTGCAGTGGTAGCAGTAGTAGTAGTAGCCAGTTAGTAGTAGCAGTAGTAGCAGTAGTAGTAGTAGTAGTAGCAGTGTAGCAGCAGCAGCAGCAGCAGCAGTAGTAGCAGGCAGCAGTAGTAGCAGTAGTAAGTAGCAACAGTAAGTGCAGTCAGTAGTAGTAGTAGTAGCAGCAGTAGTAGTTGCAGTAGTAGTAGCAGTAGTAGTAGCAGTAGTAGTACGCAGTATTAGCAGTAGTAGTAGCTCAGTAGGAGTTAGCATTAGTAGTAGCAGCAGTCTGTAGCAGTAGTAGTTAACAGTAGTAGTAGCAGTAGTAGTAGCAGTAGTAGTAGCCAGCAGTAGTAGCAGTAGTAGTAGCAGCAGTAGTAAGCAATAGTAGATGTTGTAGTAGCAGAGTAGTGCAGTCGTAGTAACTGTAGTAGTGCAGTAAGTAGTAGCAAGTAGTAGTTAGCAGCAGTAGTAGCAGTAGTAGTAGCAGTTAGTAAGTAGACGAGTAGTAGTAGTAAGCAGTAGTTGTAGCAGTAAGTAGTAGCTGCAGTGTAGCAGTAGTAGTAACAGTAGTTGTAGCAGTAGTAGTAGTTGCAGAAGTAGTAGCAGAGTAGTAGCAGTAGTAGAGTAGTAGTAGCAGCAAGTAGTAGCAGTAGTAGTAGTAGCGTTGTAGTTGTAGCAGTAGTAGTAGCAGCGTAGTCTCAGCAGTTAGAGTAGCAAGTTAAGTAGTAGCAGCAGTAGTAGCAGTAGTAGTAGCAGCAGTGTTAGCAGTACGTCTGAGTAGTAGTAGTAG